TGACATTGTAAAAATGTAGAGTGTATATCTTATGCTGTGTGCCTTATGCTCATGACTGCACCTATCTTTCAAAATAAATTTCTATCCCTGATTTTGAGTTATGAGTATTGAACATACAGTAATAAGCTACAACACTTAAGCCTAAATTATGCAGTATTCAATCATTTTTAACCATTCCAAGTGTAAGGGAACACTGTTGACTGAGCAATGTTAGGAAGTAGTATTGACATTTTCAGTATTGCCGACGGGTATTAAAGCTTCTCGTTTGCGGGCAGCTTGTCCAATCTTCGGTCTTACCCTGATGTCACACATGAGAATGCTACGAACCGATCCATCAACGCAGATGCATCGTTGATACTTTAAGTAAAAATAACCACAGTTAAAACAGGGTTAAAACAGAAAGACACAGTTTGCATAAAGATGGCTGCATTTGAATGTATGATGTCAAACATTTGCTGCATTTGTTTTGGAGATGCATTGCAAGGCTCGAAATAGCACCTGCATATGCAGATTAGTGCAGGTAAATTGGCTGCTGTATTTCTGATGTCTGCCTGCACATAACCTGCACCTGTCCATGGGTTTAAATATACATTGTACATGACTCAATGTGTAGGTGTATGTAGATTTTTAATTGCTGTATTGACTGTTACCACCTAATATGAAGTACAAAAAAAATAATGGAAATGGTTTCTGTGAACAGATTTTAGTATGATCCATGCTTGCTAAATTCTGAGTGGTGCAGGTAAAACCTGACTTGAATGTCGGGTTCATGTAATTTTCAATGTTATCCACACTGGTGCAGTTTTGCAGAAAAATATCATCTCGAGCACTGTGATGGTAACACACAGTTACCATGATGGGAAGGAAATGGCCGGAGGTTTTCATAGCAGCAAGCAGCTGTTTTCGTAAAGCATCAATTTACTTTCAGCCAGCCCCCTCAGGGAGACTCCTGGTGTTTGAAGATGCTCTTGTTTCGTGGACACTCCATTTGGGAAGATTCTGAAATAGCTTTTGTCCATGCATAAGTTGCAGGGCTTGAAATCCATTTTTGGATCTAGTTACCATCGATCGTGAAAGCTGTCCGGTCCAGGTCACTGGCCTTATGTGTTTAGAGAAGAAGAAGATACTGGCTAAAAACAAATGTTTGTTTTTGTTCTTCTACAAAATTTAAGGTAAACATAATCATTAGCTTGATGAATTCTCTGAAGAGTCAGATGTTTCAGATAGAATTCTCTGTGAAGTTTGAAGTTTTATCAGTCACTGTGGTCAAAAGTGAGTCTAAACACAAGTAGCTCCTTTGGTCCAACAGGTTAACCAGAGCTGCTTGATTTTTAGAAGCGCAATCACTGATTAAAGATAATCATCATGGCTATGTGAAATGTCTAAATCTTTGGTCAAGAGAAAACTTCTACCTGTACTTGTCAAGAGAAAAAGAATAAATTACATGTTCTATACATGTATTTTAAAAACACTAATCCTTCTAAGGTTTCTTTTTTTCACAGCAATAAGCAACAGCAATTTATTACACTTGAAAACTTCAGAAATAATGTTACAGAACTGTTGATTTACTGTTATAACAAGCAACTTGTATTCCATGCAGCAGTATATACTGGTCAAAGCACTGTGGACGTTGGCAACAGGCCCACATGTAAATGAGCCGTTGCACATTCAGAGATGTTCAAGCAGCCAGAATCAATATTTTTATCATGTACGGAGTCTGCAGCCATAAATCCCAGAGTCGGGCCTCTTTAAATCAAATCCTTGTTTTTCTGACTTCCTTCCATGAAAAAATCAAAATAAGAATTGCTCTCTTGTAAACCACTAAGTTAAAAACAGGCTAGAAAATTCAACATTAGATTTTTAATTGTCTTTTCTGTGATATATTTTAGAGCCATCTAAGAAACTAATCATCAAAACTTTTTAGTTGATTTGCTGACAAAATTTCCGTAGGTCAGAAATTGGCCATTCTTCCTGTTAAAATCTTTATTTTGAACATGAGTCAAGGAATAGCCTGTTTTGTTTTTTATTTGCACAATAAAAATACATGATACAAGAAGTAATACATAAAACAGGAGAAGGGAAAATTGTATATAGCCTTCACTCAGCAGTTCTCCTCAGTGTATAGTCTCTCCTGCATGCACTATATTCTGAAGCAAGTCTTGGATATTGGTTTCTCTGAGACAGTTGCAAAACCCCATCTTCGCTATATGGCCCCTTCGTGGTATATGTAAGATGCATTGCTAATGACGTGCACCTGTATTACTGCACAATGTGGACACCGGATTAAGAAAAGGAGACATTATACATCTTAAGTTGAGTGCTTGGATCAGTTCCCAATTTAGGTCCACACCAGTTTAATTAATTGGTTCTTGGATTCGCCCACTTAATTTTTTTTCTGATTTGACAAAAAAAAAATCAGGTTCTGAATCGATTCAAAAGGCTTACATTTTGACCCCAACAGTTGAAAAAAGTCCTTGCCTTCCTAGTTGTCTTCCTAGTTATGTGTTTAACATTGTTGTTAATGCTGTCTGAAATTGTCAGCAGCAGTTGTTTCAAACATTATGCATTATGATGTACTTCCCAGAGGTTTGGTATCTCATATTTTTTTTCTTTTTTGTTAAATTTTCTCACAAACTAAATTCTTTCTTTGTATAGTATTTCAACTTTTGCTTTGTGAGATAGAGAGATTGTTTTTTATTGTATGAGTAAGTACATGACATGTATTAATACCTGAATGCAGCAGGTTGCCATACCTCAGCTGCGTCGTTCACCCGCGCCATCTCAGAACAGGTGCAATCGGACACACGCCGCTGACCATGGCCACCACCTTGAAATTGAATTTCTCCGTGTAGATATGCCACATGCAATATTCAATAGTGTTTCCTGGGTGTTGGGTGCCTAATAGAGGTGGTAGTCATTCCATAAATATTGTGCGACAGGTAGAAAGAGATTCCTTGGCAATACGATGCAGGAATACCAAATAAGAAAATATATAATGTCTAGAGCTAGAATTTCAAGGGTTAGCCGTTAGGTGTAACAAGTCGATCGGTGTAATATAGCCAGCTGCCGCCGCGCCGCGTGCCTGCGAAGCTGGTGTGTTACGCCGAAAGGCGGTTATACCGGCTATACAGATACAGATATAAGAACTTTTCTTTGCCCATTGTACAAGGTAGATTTGGTTATGGTGCAGTCACATTTTTCGCAAGTTGTCGTGTGATTTTGATGTCATTGATAGAATTTTTAAGCAGGCTCTGATAGAACTAACCACTCACAAGAATCTCAGACAGCCTTTTGTTTGAAGGCAGTGAATTGTGTACAATGCATGCAGGAGTATCCATTCAATAAATTTGCAATCCTACAATAATCATACCACTGATGTAACCGCCTCTTTTGTAAACCAGACCTATCATGTGTTCTTAAACAACTAAGAGTATTTTTATGTGACATCATTGCTGACTGGCTACCACCATGTTGGTGATCTAATTTACATATCTTATGAAACATAGCTGAAGTGTACACTTAAAGATTTTCTCACCCTCATAAGTAACAACTATTGAATGTCTACATACACAGCTAAAAAATAAAATACCAAAAGGATACTTTTATTTTTGCAGTGAAACACAAAAATGCTATCATAAATATGTACTCTTCAGCTTTGAGCCATCAAAATGCAGAATATGGACACCAACATGGCTGTCAGCCCCTGTCTGCTTTGTAGCATTGGAAGGTGAAAAAAATGCTGTATACCTCTGGTTAATCTTAGGCAGAATTATGATAAAATTTATAGGTAATGACTGCTACAGTATAAAAGATGTACAATGTGCATTGACAGATTGATATAGACATTTGATATTCCTTTTGAGGGTATGGGTAGATTTCATCAGCTTGTATCTTGTCATTTCTGTCTGAGGTCATAAGGCCACATAAAGTTGATTTTATGGACGACACCCACGCATACGTAATGATTTTAGACTGTGTCCCATCAAAAACAGATGGACAATCGGTATGCCACACCACTCACACCCCGGTCATCCAACCCACAAGTCATTAACTTCCTACGTAAAACTCTAAATGTACCAGAAAATGAGAGAATATGTCCTAATGGTGATAAAACCGTCACAAAACGAGCAGATACGTTGTAAAACATCCTGTCGCAACGGGAGCTATTTTTTTTGTCTTGCGGATACACATCCAGTTAAAAGCGTCAACAGGGTCTAGGGTACAATAACCTCTGTGTGTTCTATATGAATATGACTCCATGCAAATTTCAATTTGTTTTAATTTGCCAGAAGAAGCCTTGTACTTTGCCTGGTGCAGTCAGACAATTACTCTAGGGCTCCAAAGTCACTTGTGCCCCAGGTGGTTAAGTCAGATTGAAGCCATCTGGGTAACAAGAAAATTGAACTTGTAAGTAATATCTCTAAAGGGGCGTAAATCTTGTACAGTCTTCAGTTAACTTTTCTGTAACAGTTGTATTTGATGCATGTTATAACTCATGTCGCTTAAGGACCTTGCAGACTTGTCTGGCCAAGATTTTTCTGCAATAGCTCAAGATAATGACATTGACACCATCAAACTCGTAGTTAAACTATGAGTTTGATGGTGCAATGCATCTAACAGCCAGAGATGTCAAATGATTTTGTACTTGTCACGTTGTGATATGTAGACATCCTAACCCATTTGTGCAAAGTTAAAACAGCTATCCACTAGTCTGAAGACTTGGTTAAGTAATAAATTATAGGTACAACATGTATTATACAATCAATATTCAACAAGTTTATTTGCATAACTTGGGTGTCACTGGTATGGACTTCATATTAGCATCATGAGAATTTAAGGTGAAGAAAAAGGTCATTGACCTCTGCCCTTAGAGTTCACCACACAAGAGCTATGTGGCCTGGGGGCTACAAAAATCAAGATAGTCACTGCCCTATACTCCAAGTGGTGTAGGAAGGACAGCCATTTTAAGTAACTCACTTTCCTAACCCTTGTTCTTGCAGCATGTGATATGAACGTGCATGTCCGGTGCCAGCACATGGTCCCGAACCTTTGCGGCTCCGACTTCACTGAGAGGAGAGGGCGAATCCAGCTCAAGTGCAAAGTCAAAGATGAGAAGTTGACAGTAGAAGGTGAGGCTTAGCAGTTAGCATCCATGTAGGTTAGGCAAGCTGGTGGTCATTCTAATGGTTCTGGGTTCAAATCCCAAACAGACCATTGGAAATCAGTCGCATAGATTTCAGCACCAAGGACAGGATACAGGAGGCACATATTTGGCTTATGGTGTCATTTGGTTCAAATACCAGGGCACAAGAACCAAAAATGGTGACAAAATAGCCAAAAAATCTCAAAATGAATCATTTAACAATGATGAAATTATTGTTTAATGTCGCATGGATTTGGGTAAAGAAATAAAATTTATAATACATGCATGACTTAAGTAAGAGAGAATGAGAAAAGTAGCTTTCCTGTAGATGGAAAGTATAGAAAATATCATATATTTTGTTTTAATACCTTTAGTTGAGAAATGATTAATGGAAATATCCTGATTAGCCAATCAGCATTAAGTAACTATTGAGGCTTTCAACTATTTACAGTTTTTAAACTTGTTCCCACATTTTGTTTCTACAGTCCAGGAAGCCAAGAACCTGATTCCGATGGACCCCAACGGCCTGTCAGACCCGTACGTCAAACTGAAACTCATCCCAGACCCCAAGAACGAGAGCAAGAAGAAGACAAAGACTCTCAAGGCAACGCTAAATCCACAGTGGTTTGAAAAATTTGACTTGTAAGTACTTGTTAATTAGTTTGTATACTACTATAAAAGCATCAATATGGCTCAAATTTGATCTGTCTAGGAATGAGCCATCGTGTGTGTCATAGTCTTTTGAGACTGACTGGCTGAGAGAGAGAGAGAGAGAGAGAGAGGAAGAGAGGGAAAGAGATAAAAGCATCTCATTTTGCGAAGGTTACATGTATACATTGTATGTTGACTGTAGCAAAATAGTCTGGTACCCTTCAATAAGAAACGATTGTCATTTGAATATTCGCGTAACATGCAGGCAATTTTCTGATTCACACGATTCTCATAATGGCATGGTAGCAAACTTCAAACAGTTATTATTAAGTTTGATTCATGTTACACTGCTTGTGAGAAATGTTTAACTTCTGAAATAATGCATGATGTCAGGACCAAATAGTTCATATATTCAAATTTTTAAGCTGAGTTTTTCAGTTGATGTTGTAGCATTGGAGTTGACCAGTCCTTCTCAACTATAAAAAAAATGCTAACTAGAAAGTTCAAATTGAAAATAAAGTGTAAGTAAGGGTCAAACACAAACCAACCAGAAACGACACAAAACTTTTTATCACACATGAGCCCCATATGTTGTATTTGGATGGTTTTACAAGGCCATCAATAACCAACCACATGTGATAAAAACTGATGACTCTAACTGATCTGGTCACCTCAATGCCAATAACTTGGACGTAGCATAGTTTAATGGCTAGCAATAATATTACAGTATAATTCATTGTACAGCTGAGCTTTAGTTTGGTCTAAATTGTAAAACTAAGTGACAGTTTGCTGAAAATGTCATGATCTATATAATACAGGAACTTAGATTTTTATGAAACAGTAATAACATTCCAAAGTTTAAAGGAACACTTAAGCCAGGAAATTGGTGTCATTTTCCAATAGATAATAATTTTGTGAAGTGAAGAATGCATACTATTTTACAGTATGTGATAAAGTACCCTCTAGCCACACATTAGTCTGTGTATCAACAGGATTTGAAAAAAAATGAAGCCCTTCTGGTGTATAAATTCAGACTTGGTCTCTGTTGTATTTGCCTATTTTCTGTTGACATTCTTGACAAATTAACGATCATGGAAGAAATTGATGATAATGTCACAAGAATCTTGACCCCAAAATGTCATTGCTAAATGTCAGTAATGAATAAAGTTCACCAACTGTTATAGGTAAAGACTGTCAGTTGACCTTTTAACAGGGAGAGAAATAGAGGCTCATACTGTTGTACAGTTACAAGTGAGCACTCTGTGTAACTCAAGTGGGCAGTTCCTATAACCTTTAGCATGCTTCACAGCCCTGAACCGATACTGGTTTCCACATCATTCAGTGTGCTAAGGCCAGCTAAAGGTTAATTACAATTAAAGGCACTTTAAATGAACTGGACCCATATACTTTGGCTTTCTTGGCAATCAATTTATCTTGGCAATATTTTTTTCTCTTCTGAGTTTAGCTACAGTTCGAAAATGTGTGATGTTAATGTCAAGGTAGCAGATGTTGGATCAAGGTTCAAGGGTTTGATGGTTCCACTGAGCCAGACCTTGGGAAAGTCCCCCTACACTCACTCCACCACCTCGCCATGTGTAAAGTGGTCTGCTACCTGTCTTTGGTTGGGGAGGTAAAAGATAGTGGAAAGATACCAATACCATGACACAGTGAATAAAAAGTTAACCCAATGCCCTGATGGCCTCAAAGGGCCTATGGAATCTTCCTCTTATTTTTTTACTTCAAATTACTTCTTGGCAATTGGATCATGTCACAAATGCTTGAATTTAAGGGACATGAATTTGATATGATTGTAGTTTTATAAAATGTAGTAATGGCATTTCTGTTTCCTCTCCCAAACAGCAAACTTAAAGATGAGTACAAGGACAGACGATTGTCCATCGAGGTGTGGGACTGGGACCGCACTTCCAGGAATGACTTCATGGGGGCGCTGTCCTTCGGTGTGCAAGAGCTGATCAAGATGCCAGCCGAGGGCTGGTTTAAACTGTTGAACCAGGAGGAGGGGGAGTATTACAATGTGCCCATTGCTGACGAGGAGGAAAATGTTGCTAAGCTTAAGGAACAACTGCAGGTAACTATTATCTATAATAACATTCTTTGTCATACTGTAGTTTTTGTAATTTTTGTGAAATTTTGTAAGTCCTTGTTTTCTTAGCAATTTCATTTAAAGATTCAGTTTTACTACCCTTAAATTGCTTTGGGTGCTTTCAATGACCTTTTCCCCCTGAAAATATGTTTCAAAAGTGTGTTTCAAGATGAAAATACTGCAAACTGTAACAGTTTTTCTTGCTACAAAATGCTGCAAACTTATATGAGTTTACAGAATAATCAAATTACTTTTCAGATGGTCTTATTAAAAAAGTGCACAATAATTGATAGAATATCTGCAATGGTAGATGATCTAAATTATTATTTTTTTATATCCTGCTTAACAGAAGCAAAAGTTGGATGAGCAGCAAAAGCAGAAATCCAAACGCTCTGAAGAAGTTAATATCGGCAGCCTTGAGCACATGAAAGCCTCTGATTTCAACTTTCTCATGGTGTTGGGAAAAGGCAGCTTTGGCAAGGTAAGGTCTGATGTTTATGATTGTATGAAGGATGTTACAATGGATTAATAAAGGATAAAATTAGTTCTGTTACTCTAATGTCAGCCCCTGGGTGATGTATGAACTTCAAGGCAAGGAGCTTCAGGTGTTATCCACAAATGTCATAATTCTGCACTTAAAAGAACAAAAAGACATTTAAAGTTCAAACTTTATTTGTTCCAACACAAAAGATTGTTCTCATCTAGAGTGACAGAGGCCAACCTCGAATACCAGAGACCCAGTGTTGACGTCACACTTCCAAGAAGCCACATTACAAGTCTCACTGGGTCAGACTTTGGAAGAAAACAGAGTGACTGATTGAAAATCTTTTCGTGTTGGAGCAAAAGTTTTTTCGCGTCGGAGCATTTAAAGTTTTAAATTTAGATAAACATTGTGATGTAACTACAAACACAGATGAACTTTTATTTCTGTATATTCAACATTTATAATAAGAACACAACACATCTATTGGGAAGAGTAGGGTTGACCCGGTGTGCTTGGCTAAATATGCAAGCTGTAGCAAAGCTGCATTGCACAATCAGCTAAATTCTGTCCATGGAGGGAAGCCCTTCACATTTCAGCAACAGTTAGGTCATGGGGTGGGTGAGGTCAACATTCGCATTTCATCTAGCACTGATGTAGCCTGAGTGTGCTGTTCAATGTAGTTGTGTTTACGGGAAAAGCCATACAGATACATCCTTTTTATTGATTCAATCTACACTTGAGCTGCTTAAGTGCATTTCTCCCTGCGTTAGCAGATGTGCTATAGCTAAGGTCACCTCTGTCAGCATCTATAATCAACCAATGTGAACGCTTTGCTCTGAAGTAGGCATTAGAATCCCTAATTGGGAGTAAGCACTATTTAACCGTGGTAATAGATCGATACCCGTCTGCAAAGCGTGTTTAGTTAAATGAAAGACAATTCTGTTCAAATGTGCTGCGAGCGCAAGACCCGCCGACACGCTGGCTTCGTCGACAGAAAGAAACCATTAATGATTTGTCTTGTAATTCCGAACGCGTGAAAGGCTGATTGAGCCATTTGGGGCCGGGTATGGTTGGTATGCATTGCTGACGCGGGGAGGGGGGTGAGAAGTTCATCTTGAATACCAATGGAAACTGCAAGCCTTCATGACGTCAACTCAACAAAGCCCCCCGTCTATAGATCCACACCATTTGGTGTTTGTTTTGAGTACAGTCTTTGATGAGTGCCATTTACAGTTTAAATGAGGTTCTGCATGCCTTCTTCCTTGAGATCCAGCAAACTGTTAAACTTAGCCAGCCTGCTATAATTCAATGTTGAGCATTGTTTGTAAATTCTCTCTTACATGCATGTATGAAGCCTCTAACTCGAGGCAAATTTTGTATGACTTGTAATATAGGGTCAGAGGTAACACAAAAAAACAAAAAAAAGAAGCAATAACCCCCATATAACACTTTTCAAGTTACATAATATGTTATATGGATAGACATTTTACTCTGTTGAAATCCTCAATGATTTTCAGATTATCATTAATTTTTTTTCATATTACCACGTATCAAAGTATACCGTGTACATTGTATACATTCCATTGTTATAAATGTTAACGGAACCTTGAATTATTCAACAAGATTCTGTTCCAAACTGTTTCCATGCACCAGACAATATCCTGTGGCTACAAAACTGCCAAACAGGGAAGATTTTCGTCCAAATTTGAATTACCGCAGTTATGAATAGTGAAAGGTGATCATGTACAGGTAGTTACATTGAACTTGCCTACAGAAATTTGCATTTTTATCAGAAGTGGTGACTGGCTTCAAAATGGAGCCCAGATTATTTGAGTCGTTGCGGTTCCCTCGGTTTCTTTTGTTAGGGGATGATATGATTACTCGCCCATTTGAGAGGGTTGGGGAATTTCACAGTCAAACTATTCATTTCAACCTCTTTTCAGTGAAATTGCAGTAGATTGCGCGGAAGTCGAATAAAAGCTGTGGGTTTAAAACAGTTGGCGTATTTCCAAAGCCATCGAATGATCTTTTTGAGTGCTGCTCAGCAGCAAAGTCATCCTAGGGTACATGCACTAAGTTGTAAAGTGGAGTGCTGAAAAGTTTTGTATTTTGAGGGCAAAGAACCCTACATGTTATCTGAACTATACCTTTTATTATTATTATCGATTTTGTTGTTACAGTAATAACTAACTTATTACAAAAATTAAACTGTTGGCATTCTTTCATACATATCAGTGTTTAAAATACCCCTCTGCATTCTGCATTATGCAGAAAGATTTTCAATATTGCAAATTAAAAGACAAAATTATACAATCTGCACTTTTGCAGAACCAGGTTTGGGATTCAATGATTTTAGAAGGCCGTATATAGTTTGGAGGCTTAATCTATTTGCAGAAAGCTTTTCCAACTTGCAGAACAAAATTTTGACTCAATTGTATTGCAGAATTCTGGAGAAAAGCATTTTGACCACTGCGGCATATCAAAGTACTCATTTTCACTCATTGAGGAAAGTCAGACTCTGTAAAGTGCCTTTCCCAAGGGGACAAGATTGGTGACATGTCAGAACTCGAACCCGAGACCTCTTGGTTCCATGTCAAGCACTTATAATGCCATTATGCCACACAACCCCACAAAATGATTGCCTGTTGACTGTTTTAGGTGATGCTCGCGGAGAGGAAGGGCGTTGAGGAATTGTACGCCATCAAGATCCTGAAGAAGGACGTGATTGTCCAGGACGACGATGTGGAATGTACCATGGTGGAGAAGCGGGTCCTCGCCTTGAGAGACAAACCTCCATTCCTGGTGCAGCTGCACTCCTGCTTCCAAACAATGGTACGGTCCAGAATGCTCCAAACTAGAGAGCCAATATTTGCAAACAAGTGCTAGATATCTCATTCCTCATGTCTATGACCTACAAGAAAATCCTTGTGCAGCTGCACTCCTGCTTCCAAACAATGGTACGGTCCAGAATGTTCCAAACTAGGGAGCACACATTTGCAAGCAAGTGCTAGATATTTCATTGCTCATCTCTATGACCTACAAGAAAATCCTGGTGCAGCTGCACTCCTGCTTCCAAACAATGGTACGGTCCAGAATGCTCCAAACTATAGAGCCAACATTTGCAAACAAGTGCTAGATATTTCATTCCTCATCTCTATGACCTACAAGAAAATCCTGGTGCAGCTGCACTCCTGCTTCCAAACAATGGTACGGTCCGGAATGTTCCAAACTAGAGAGCCAATATTTGCAAACAAGTGCTAGATATTTCACACCCCATGTGCCTCACCTACAAGAAAATTAGCTGAATTCCCTCTACGCCAAAATGGACTATTCTGTTGACTTGCATGATGTCCCAAGTCCCAAACTCTGATTTTCCGTTCCATAATTTCTATCCCTGTATGCTGTCCTCAAATTGCCTGACTGTGTATTATCATTATTATCCCTTACTGCCGGAGGTAGTTGTATGTTATATGTCTGTTAGTACGAATATGTCATCTATATTGCCTCCGGCTTGCATTAAAGTAATGTACAGTACAATACTGCCTCTAACTACTGTCTACTTGATTAGATCACTGCCATCAATCACTGTTATCTGCAAGTTCAATAATAATACTTTGAGTTGAGCATGTTGTACATTGTACATTGTACATGCTGTCTTGGCCCTTGCAACATTCCAGCAAACTGCATTCCTCCTAATCGTTGACTGATTTAATACATAACATAATGTAGTAGATATTTTGTTAACTTGAAACAAAACTTGATTTAAAGAAACTCTGCCTACATTTGATCAAATTAATTTTTTTACAGCATTTTGCTTCATATAACAGAGAACAGCGTATTACATAGGTCACATGAATTAATGGGTTAACTTTATAGCTCTAACTGCACATGCATTAGTGATACATTGTGGGTAGTACAATGTACTGTATATGAAAGTTGAAAGTACCATCCTTTATACATCAAACATGGCTTTCATCTTTGACATATAGTCCACAAGGCATAACATCTCGCATTTGCAGTTAGTACCATGAACAAGCTTATGAAAGTCAGGACTTTGCCACCTTGCGTTAAGCTAATTTTGTTGTTACTGTCTTGACCCATAGGATCGGCTGTACTTTGTGATGGAGTTTGTGAACGGAGGAGATCTGATGTACCAGATCCAGCAGTGTGGGAAGTTCAAAGAGCCGCACGCTGTGTGAGTGGACGATTTAACATTTTTACAGTCATGTTACTTATTGAAGAGGTTCCTCAGTCACGTACATGTAAGGTTAACAGTTAGTACAACATTCATCAATCAGTGACTATTTTGAAAGGTAAAACCACATACCTCCAAATTTTCGATGTCGGCTGTACATCTTGTTCATGGAATGACCTAGTCTCGCAACAACGCGCGAAAACACTTGTGCAGGTCTGGCCTCCCCTGCCTCCTTGCGGAGTAGGGGGAAATAGGACAGATTATGAATTTACTGCTGACTTGCATAGGATCTCAATAGCTAACCTAGTGATAGATTTTGTCATTTTCCATTAGATTTTGCAATTTTGTAACACATATTAAGTGACTTGAAGATTGATACATCAAGACTTATCATATAATTTTAATTTTCTGTGGCTTTACAATCAAACGGTATCTTACTTTTGATACTTCTTTGTTGTGTAGGTTTTATGCAGCAGAGATTGCTATTGGCCTGTTCTACCTGCACAGCAAGGGGACCATTTATAGGTGAAGTTTTTTTCTATTGCATCGTAAAATATTGACCCTCTAAGTTACTATTCAATTCATACCAAGATCAAAAGCATCTAGATAACTAAAATGGAGTCAGTTCAAGGGACAGGGAAACACAGTCAGTACCAGGGACAGGGAAACACAGTCAGTACCAGGGACAGGGAAACACAGTCAGCACCAAGGACAGGGAAACACAGTCAGCACCAGGGACAGGGAAACACAGTCAGTACCAGGGACAGGGAAACGCAGTCAGCACCAAGGACAGGGAAGCACAGTCAGCACCAGGGACAGGGAAACACAGTCAGTACCAGGGACAGGGAAACACAGTCAGTACCAGGGACAGGGGAACACAGTCAGGGACAGGGAAACACAGTCAGCACCAAGGACAGGGAAACGCAGTCAGCACCAAGGACAGGGAAACACAGTCAGCACCAGGGACAGGGAAACACAGTCAGTACCAGGGACAGGGAAACGCAGTCAGCACCAAGGACAGGGAAACACAGTCAGCACCAGGGACAGGGAAACACAGTCAGTACCAGGGACAGGGAAACGCAGTCAGCACCAAGGACAGGGAAACGCAGTCAGCACCAAGGACAGGGAAATGCAGTCAGCACCAGGGACAGGGAAACACAGTCAGTACCAGGGGCAGGGGAACACAGTCAGGGACAGGGAAACACAGTCAGCACCAAGGACAGGGAAACGCAGTCAGCACCAAGGACA